CATGAATTACTGAATATTACTAAACCCAAACTGTAAAGTGTGACCAAAACACCTTGTATTGTACAGGGGTTGCTAAAGCAGTAGGGTTGGGATTTATGGTGGAATTTATTACAGTTTGTCACTGAGTAGGTTTGCTTGCAGATATAGCTACAGTATATAGCTTTGTGAGGAACACACGGCTCTTTGACACTTTCATTTGAGCTGAATATCACAGTGGAGATTGCTAAGCTTCAACATATACATGTTTATGTATTCTGATCATCAGCAATTTTTGCAGTCGATAGAAAGAGAGAGAGAAAGAGAGAGAGAGAGAGAGAGAGAGAGAGAGAGAGAGAGAGGGGGGATAGAGAGAAAGAGAGAGAGCATAGTTTCCAGGTACGGAAGACTGAATAAAACTGTAGGCCGACTCCAGGTATACAGTATATTGCTGCAGCCCGGAGACCTCAGAGGGTCTTATGCATCAAGTAGGTTGGGTTAAGGTAAGAATGTTTACAGCTGTGGCCACTTAGCATGTGCACATTATTATAGTATATTTTTTGTGCGGCTGTACATGAATAATTTTTGTTGTTACATAACTGCAAGTGGTAGGTGTAGACATTAATGAAGGCTAGTTTATACTTCTGCATCGAGAGATCGTCATAATCCACAGCGCATGACTTGTGCATTTATACTTATGCTTGTTTGTGTCACTCTACAATAACACCTCCAAAACGATAGCTGGCAGTGCATTATGTTATTTTCCTCTGTATCGAGTATTTTCGCAAGTGTTCTGTTTTATCTAAATGCTACCTTGATGTACAAGTACACTGTAAAAAAAAAAAATGGTATTATAAGTTTTTTTTTTTATTATTATACTTTTTTCAGGCAGCTGGAATGCTGAAAAGAATGTAAAATAACATCCGTTAAATTACAGCAATTTACCAGACAATTTAATTCAAGAAAATTTCTGTAATTTCTTGTAATTTTGCTCTACATACCACGGTTGTAACGAGTGGTTATTTGAGTTACGGATGCCTTTTTATCAGCTCAAACCAGTCTGATCATTCTCCTTTGACCTCTGGAAATCAACAAGGCATTTTCAGCCACAGAACTGCCACTGACTACATATTTTTTTTTCTTTTTTACCATTCTCTGTAATCCCTAGAGATGGTTGTGCATGAAAATCCCAGTAGATCAGCAGTTTCTGAAATACTCAGACCAGCCGGTCTGGCACCGAAGACCATGTCACATTCAAAGTCACTTAAATCACCTTTCTTTCCCATTCTGATGCTTGATTTGTACTACAGGGAACCATCTTGGCCATGTCTACATGCCTAAATGCATTGAGTTAAAAATTTGCATTAACAAGCAGTTGGACAGGTATACCTAATAAACTGTCCTGCGACTGTATATTAGATGACTATGTTTAAAAGAAAGCAGTTAAAATTGTGATCAAGATTGTGACTAATTGGGCAGTCCTACTTTCAAATATGATTGGGACCTCTTTTAACCTCTTACAATGTCAGTAGTTCATTTGAATAAATACAAATTTCATGAACACTTCAGACCGATGCTGCTGTTCATTCAATTTTAAATACATGCCATGCATGTCTAGTGCTTTCTAGAAAGAGGATATTCTCGTATCCACAAGTGAGACAAAATGCTACATTAAACTGACTGCAGTTACATAATTCATTTACCTCTATGAGGCGAAATGGAAATGTTATTTTTAATAACATCAGCATAACTCAAAGACCATAAATTAAACATTTGTGCTTAGGAACATGAAATGGATATGGACGTTTTTTTTTTTTTTTTTCCTTCCTTTTTGCTTGATTATAAACCAGTTTGATGATCTACAATGCAGAAACTGTAAAGTACCTCATCTCTTTTGGTGTTATAATTATTACTGGTTTGTTTCTGAACGAGAAGAGCAATAGGACATGGCGCATGGGAATGATAAATGTACAGTTCATATTACAAGTGCAGTTGCTGAAACCAAGTAGTAGGGCTAAATGCCAGGGATGTGATTGATATTGAAAATATACCACTTCCCTGCTGATGCAGTCATTAAATAAACACAGCATCTGGAATGGCTGAGACATGATCACGCCGTGTGCTCTTTTCCTCAGGCTAGTGATCCGCACGCACCCAGAGGCCAGCCAGCTCAGTTAAGGTCATCTCTCACACTTCATGCTAAAAATATCAGTCTGTCTGCTGATAATACAAGGCTTCCGGGATAGTCGCGGCGATCCCTTTTGCTCTTACATCTGCAATCTAGTCACACTGGAAAGGCTAAAGAGATGCTTCTCAAAATCGCTCCTTGTTTTTCTGCCCGGCTTGCACAGCCCGTGGGATGGAGGAAGTGTCTCGTCATGCGTGGAGACAGCAAGATGCCTGTAACTAATCTAACTGACAGCCTCTCAGACACAGATCACAGGGCTGATGGGAGAGAACGGCGGAGCAGGGAACTTTCCAAGCAGATTAATTCATATAGGAGTCTTTCTGGGGCTCGCGAGAGGCCTGTGCCCGACATGGGATAGCCCATCTTTTCATCTAAAACTAATACTTATTAAAAAATAGAAGTCTTTGTTATTATTTCTTCACACTGTTCCAAACTTTTTTGACTTTATTTTTGCAGTGAAAAGTGAAGATGCTGAACAGGAACTGATGATTTCAAGCTACAAAAAATGATGCCAAAGCAAATTAAAGGATCATAAAAAGTAGTGCTAATCACTAGTGCATAATGAAAGTAGAGCAGCACAGTGGTGCAGTGGGGAGCACAAATACCTCACAGCAAGAAGGTCACTGGTTCGAGCCCTGGCTGGGTCAGTTGGCATTTCTGTGTGGAGCTTGTATTTTCTGTCCGGGTTTTCTGGTTTCCCCCACAAGTCCAAAAAAACATGTGGTACAGGTGAATTGGGTAAGCTGAAATTGTCCGTAGTGTATGTGTTTGAATGAGTGTGTATGTATGTTTCCCAGTGATGGGTTGCAGCTGGAAGGGCATCCGCTGCATAAAACATATGCTGGAAAAGTTGGTGCTGTACCGACCCCAGATTTATAAAGGGACTAAGCCGAAAAGAAAACGAATGAATGAATAAATACTGAAAGTGTATTTTTATTGATGAACATTTCAGTATGAATCTCTGCCATAGCTAATTTCTCTATCTAGATATTGGAAGTTATTCAACTTGACAAACGATTATTGTTGAGTGATTTTGTTTGAATTGTTGTTCATTATTGAGAGTAATCAAATAGACCTTTATGAAATCTTGAAATTTAAGTTGAAATTTGCTGGTAACACTTTTCTCCAAGAGCTAGTTCACAGAATTAGAGAATCACTCAGACCAAATTGATATAATCAAACACATCACTTAAAATAATGATTTGGTCATGAATCACTCATTGTTACATCTCTAATTTGCTCCCAAGAATATGTCGATGAAACCAAGGGCAGATGATTCTCATTCAGTAAAAACTTCAATATTAGTTGGTCATTCATCTCATGCTATTATGTGGCTCCAGAAGGCTCACATGTATAAATGCATAAGTCACTACTTTTGTGACACTTTCATGATTCTTTTTCAGTCTCTTTGAACCTTGAAAGCTCCTCTCCCAATATAATGTTACTGCACTGAAATAAATTTTTCAGACTTTCTCCAATTGGATAGAATGAAGGCACATTTGGAACAACATGAAGGTGAGTAAATTGTCTTTTAATGTGCGATGCAGATAACTGGTTCCACTTGAATTCTTCAAACAAACAGCAAGCGCAAACAACGAACGACACTTCACATTTACCTGTCACATCTTTTACCACTTTTCTGTTCTCAGCTTTGCTTTTATCTTTTCGCAGAAGCGTGGCATTTTCCCTGCCGTGGCCAACGGGGAGAGAGACTGAAGAGGTGAAAGAAAGTAACAGTGGTAGAGAGAAGCTGAGAAAGTCTCAGCCGTCACATCTAATTTCTTGAACCATGCGAATGGAAGATAGGATCAAAAATACTGTATGTATCTACGTAAGATTGAACCCTTGGGTAGAGGAGAAGACAAAAGCTCTACTACACATCAAAGGGTCAGTCCATGTTATCGTCAGGATAGAACGAGAACTCCCGCCTAGGGAAGGTAAAGCTACATATGTCCAACACCTCCTGTTCAGACTTGACAAATGCTCTTTGCTGTTACCAAACCAATACCCATTCATCCAGCAGTAGCGTATAAGTTCAATAAACTTGGCATGATGGACACATATAAAACCTTCCGGAGCTGACTTGGGCAGATTATGGAATTAGTTTTATTTGTTTTAACCAATTTAGCTAATGCAAAATTCATGTATGATTTCAGACTTAAAATATTAATTCCGACAATGACAAGATTGATATGCAACACTGACAAAACTCCTAAATTAAAAGAGGTGAAAAGTGAGCAAGAGAGATTGTTTTTTAACAAAGCAATACTGTTGCCATGCACTCTTTCAGCAGCTGACACTACTGTCACTATCAAAAAGCAGAAAAGTAAATATAAAAATGTGCCCTGCTCCACTCCCTTGAGGAGAACAGCTGAACCCCCTGCTGTTTCTGGTACATTACAGGAAATCATGAGTATAGGGAAACAGGACCTCTCCTGTGAACACAATGAGTGTAGCAAACCTGGTCTGCACCCTATTTAAAATGACTTTGTCCAAATGAATTGTCACTACAAGGAAAAGCAGAGAAAAACAAATGTGTATCTATCCACTACACTGATGAAAGAAATTGTTTTCTCTTGTAATGATGAATTGAATTTGTTTGCAACACCTGCAGACTCCTTGGTTTTTAACTGAGAACAGAACATTCAGTCCTAAAGTGCAAATAAACTCCCTATTCCAGCAAACTATAGAGAATCATAGACACTCATTGCTCTTTGCACATCCATCAAGTTCTTGATTCTACTAATAAACAGCCCACATCAAAGCAATTCCCTTCACCTCTAAACTTACTTTCCAAGACAAAAGTTTGCGGAACAGAAACTTTCTTCAAACTTACCACAGTAAAGTCTTCAGCCGAGCAGTTCTGCCCACTGAAGTTGCAGCTCTTCAGCATCTCTTCCAGCTGGTGACCCGTCCGGTTGAAGATGTCCTGCATGTCTGGTGCCGGATACTCCAAATCGGTGGGTTTGTGGCCGTCCTTGTTTTTGGGGGGCAAGCCGGTCAGGTTGGCCAGGTGGTAGATGTCGGCATCTGTAAGAGCAGAAAAGCGGAAACGGTTGATGTTGCAGATGGTCACGGCGGGGAACACCATCTCCGGGGTGGCCTCCTCGTTCAGTGCCGTGACGTGAGGATGCTCCAGGTAGGAGATGGCACACTTTGCTGCCTGGTACAGAAAGAGAGCCAGGGACACCAGAAACGCAAGAGCCCAGAGGGTCTGTCTGACACCCAGCCGGCCCGACACGAAAATGTGGTTAATCCCATGGAGCGAGGAGGCACTGGCAAAGCCAGCCAAGTCCTTGGTTGGGGGGCTGCAGCTCTCCTCAATCAGGCTCTCCTTGTCCCCATCCTGGTTGCCTTTCTGCTTCTCATCCTCCTCTGCAAATTTGATTTTGCAAACAAATTCGATCGGCATGTGGGCAGCCAGGTCTGCGTTTGGGATGTTTGGATAACAGCTTGGAGCCCCAGTTTCCACTAACTCCCGTTGCTCTGACGAACAAGACCTCAACTCCAGAAAGAAAAGAAGAGAAAAAAAGGCATGTAGAGTGAGAGCGAGAGCGGCCGCTGCTGTCGTGTGCTGTGAAGAGAACTGCCTCTGTCTCTCAGTTTCAGCTCTCCAGCACTGATGCTCCTGGTGCTGCGCTCGGACTGCTCATCTGAACACTTGTTCGGCACGCTTACGAGTCCTGCTTACCAGCTGTGAGAACCAAAAAAAAAAATAATAATAAAAAAAACATACAGCGAAGCTTCTCTTTGCTTCAAAGCCACAGATGAAAATGCAGCATTTTGACTCAAGCTTCAAGAGGCTGGGGGGCTTCTTAATAATTCATGAGGAAGCAACACTGTGATTATTTCCTCTTCACCGGCACAAGCAGCGGCAACTCAAACACCCCCCACGCGCTCCGTCCTATCGCTTTCTCTCTCTCGATCTCCCGCTCTCTCTCTCTCTCTCTCTCTCTCTCTCTCTCTCTCTCACTCTTACACACACGCGTACTTACAAACATCCCCCCCTCATTCGCTCTCTCTCACTTAATCCACTTGTTTGAAGCGCTTTCTTACCCCTTGACCACAATAAATTGTCGTCAAAAACTGCTTCGCTGAACATCCTGGACTAGATGAGGACATCATGAGGGGGGGTCAGTAGATTTTAAGCTCTCAGCTCCCCCCTTACTCCCAGGAGCCTATTTACACCCACTTTATTCCCAGAAGACATCCTAATTGCGACAATAATGAGGCGTGAGGAGTGATCTTAAACAGCTCACAACTCTGAACGATCAATCTTCAAGTGGAAAAAAAAGCAAAGAAAAAGGGAAATAGAGAAAGAAAGGATATCGATTGTGCAGAAGCATCAGTCAAAGATTAAGGAAAGCAGTACAACGGTCTTTTCTTATCAGGAATTAATGGTAGCATCACCAAGCTCCAGCACGAATTTAAATTAGTGCCTGTCTCCCAATCCAGGATCGGATGACACCGAAGACGCAGAAATAACGTATTGATCTTGACCCTACTTTCACACTGGTTAGCTTCTTTCATAGGCGAGCACTCTCATGCTGTTAATAGCCTTTTGCTATTGCCAAACAAAATTATGTAAAATGCATCTCCCTAATGCATAGTTTTCTTCTATAAATGCAATTAGCTTTACAGGTCACATCTCTGCGGGATGAAACATTGGGAGAAAAGCAGCGCTTTAAGGCTAATCGAAAGGCTTTAAAAATTCAAGACCTAAAACAAACTTTTTTAATCTTTCTCACAGTAAGGCAATTATTCAAGCATGTACATCAAGATATGATTTTATTTATTTTTTTATGGAGATTTGTTTTGCATTCATTCGTCACTGCAAAACAAAAAGTTAATACTAAAGTCAATTAAATTGGCAAAAAATAAAAATCAGTCTAGACATAAAATATGCCGTTCTGACGATCTGAATTTCTTGGTTGCCACAATCAATGTTAAGCATCTAGAACTCTGACAACCAGTCGTGGAAAATAGAATCAATCACAAAATGTTGTCAATTCCAAATACAACCTAGAGCTCACTAAATCCTGTTGCTATTTGAAAGGTAAGTTCAGACAAAACAGAAAATTCTGTGTATTTATTCACCCTAATAGGTTTCCAAGTCTTTCTTTTGTGGAGCATAACATATATTTCAATAGATGTTTTATTTTATACACTCCACACAGTCTAAATGGTTCATTATCATTTGGAACAATATACAAGCCCCAATCAGAAAAAGTTGGGATTTCTAAATTTACTTTGACTTGTATTTCATTGCATATTTTAAAATTTGTTGTTGTTTTGTTTGTCCCAAATAAACACATATTCCAATTTAATTATTGCAACACATTTTAAGAAAGTTGGCTCAGGAGCCATTTAGGGCTAGTAATCAGGTAAATTAGTTAAATAATGATGTGCTGAGGTGATGTCAACATGTGATCATAATTATGATATAGTACAAAAGCAGCATCCAACAATGGTCTAGTCCTTTAGAAGGACTGGGCAAGGATCACCAATTTTCTAACAAATATATGAGGAAATTATTGAAATCTTTAAAAACAATATTTCTCAAAAAAAGATAAGAAGACATTTGGATATTCCACCTTCAAGAGTGCATGACATAATTAAAAGATTTAAGGAATGTGGAGGAATTTTAGTACATAAAGAACAAGTGCGCAAGCCCAAGCTAAACTACTGTTATCTCTAATCCCTCATACGTCACTGTATCAATAATCCCCATTCCTCTATAAGTGATATCACCACTCTTGACTACTTGGCAAACCTTTGTTAAGTACCACAATATGTACTTACATCCACAAATGCCAGTTAAAACTGTGCCAAAAGGAAGCCCTATGTTAACAGTGTCCAAAAATTAATCTCTTTGCCCAGAGCCATTTAGAATAGACCATCACATAGTGGACATGTGTACTGTAGTCAGATTAATTTGTATATCAGGTATTTTTGGGAGAATTGGACACTGTGTGCCCTGGACCAAAAAAGAAAAGGATCATCTAGACCAGGGATTTCAAACTCAATTCCTCGAGAGCCGCAGCCCTGCAAAGTTTAGTTCCAACCCTAATTAAACACACCTGATCAAAATAATTGAATCCTTCAGGCTTGTTTGAAACCTACAGGTAAGTGTGTTGGAGCAGGGTTGGAACTAAACTGTGCAGGGCTGTGGCTCTCCAGGAATTGAGTTTGACATCTCTGATCTAGACTGTTACCAGCAACAAGTTCAAATGGTCAAGTGCTCTTGGCAAAGATAACTCGCACTTCTGTGATGGCACCATTAATGCTGAAAAGTACAGTAGAGATTTTGAAGATTTTGTTTGAAAGAAGAAAGGGACAAATTACACATTAAACACTTCATCACTTGGAGTCCCTAAGCATATTTTAAGTGTTGTGAAAAGGAATGGCAAAATTTCAAAGTAGAAAATGTTTTTTTTTTTAATAATTATTATTATTTTTTTAATGTATTGCAAAAACCAAAATGCATGTTTATTAAAAAAGAAAGAAAAACACACACACACACACACACACACACACACATATATATATATATATATATATATATATATATATATATATATATATATATATATATATATATATATATATATATATATGAACACATGGAATAATATTTGTTTTATTGTCTACATGGAAATAAAAGTAAATTTATAAACTACTACTTTTCTTTTTTATTTGCATTTTCACAACATTTTCTGATTTAGGGTTGTAACAACATATACAGAATTTTAATTCTGAAAACAAAAATGTAATTTTTATACTCATCTGTGTGTAAAAATCATTTGAAATCATCTAGAAGTTAATTATACAAGCAAGACATTTGTGTAAGTCTCCCTGTTATTTTCTTAATACTGAAACTCTCCAACCATTATATTTACAGTCTCTGCATGAGTGCAAGGGCACCTATAACTGTGAAAACATCCATAAATAAACAAGTTTACCTGACCTTACATTTACACCTGGTTGTGTTTCAGAATGAGTTTAAAGATTCATTACTCTGAAAAATAATTTTAATATAAATAACTGATAGCCCCAGGTACTTTCAAAGGACCTTATTGTGATAATAAAGACATTATGGTACAGTATAAAGACATGGATATATAATGCATGTTGAACATTTGCATTAATTACATGTGTCTTTTTCCCACATCTAAGCAATGCAAGAGAAAGCTGAGAAGCTCTTTTTTATGCTACATTTCTCTCCAGTCTTCTGTTTTTCAGTTTCCATGCCAGGTCAGTTTTTCTCAGAAGTGTTAGTAGGACCTTTTTATTTTTAGCTCCAGTAACATTGACAGATTTTGTTCTGAAAAAAAAAAATCTTGACTGGTAATATTTCACTGTTGTTGTTTTTTTTAAAAACGTTTATCATATTTTAACATTACGCTTCAATAGATGCCACAATTACACATGCACAGAGTTCTGGATTAAGCTCTGAATATCAAACCCACAATGACATCACCCCTGCTTCTGACACATTTCGACACAATATGGCATTTAGTTTAGTTTTTAATGCGTACTTATCTATGCAACACTTTACACGATGGTGAGCCTCTAGAGCTTGATTGAGCCTCTGGGATTTCCTTTCCCCTTGAGCGCCAAACATTATTTATGTATCTATCTGCCTCCTAATGCTGCAGTCAGTCAAACATGAGATGTTCACAGCTAAATGTTCAAACTAAAGTCGATATAATGACAAACTCGCTGCATATAGCACATAAGCCAACACAGTTTCCATTTTCGACCTCATGTTTGAGAATTTGTTGTTTTTAAAAAGTCTTTCCCAGAGGAGACTGTTTTCAGTCGCATGTTGGAAGCAAAATGGGGCTTCATCGTGTTGTTCTGATGGATGCACTGCGGGGGGAGGGAGGACAGGGTGAGGAATGAATCCTAACCTTGTTCCAGTGATATGAGACAGCAACATGCTCAGAGCACACATCTGTCATATGGCATAGGAAATCTCCTAAACCGAGTTATACTGCCCCTGGTACAAAACATGGACATGGACCTGATGTGCCAGTGAGAACTGTTTACTTCACCGAAAGATTTGCAGTTATTTGTTTGCAACTCAGCTATATTTATTGTAAATTCTGTGGGATTCAATTTTAGGGTTTAAAGTCAAAATAACAGACATCGGCTGAAATATATGACTGGGCAGTGGATACTATTGGATAAAGTATAGCTAATATAGCTGTATTCAGTTGTGTTTGCCATTTATTTTACACGTGTTGTTTTTATAACAAAAAAAATTGCTTGAGCATTTCTATTCTGCAGCAGGATGTTAAGGTGAGATATTTTCAGATTGTATCAGGTGCAACGTAAGGAAGAGAATATAATTCTACAGTGAGGGATATTCATTCAGGAAGTGTCAGAAATACCTCCTGAATAGCACTTCTGTCTTTGCTTACCTTATTATATTGACTGACATATTTCTGCTTTATAAGGATTTCAATCTTATAGGGTTTGATAAAGATAGAGAAAAAGAAATTAAGTTAGTCATTGATTCATTCATTCAAGAGATTTGCTCAAAACACGGCTTCATTCAACAGTGAATACAGTGAAGACTTTGATTAACCAAGTAAATAATCAAGTAAAATATTTCTGAGTGAGACATTGAAAAATTCCTAAG